ACACACACAAACACACACACACACACACACACACACACACGACAGTAATGAAGAACGGATTGTGGTATATAGCTGCATTTTCCCTAATTATAATTATTTAATCATTATTTACTCACTGTATGTATGGGCATGTATTTGTATATATCATGGTTATTACAGTTAACTAAAATAATAAAAAACATTTTAATTTCTTGAAATAAAATAAACATTATCTGAAATAAAATATAGACAAAACTTAAAAATAAAAATGAATATAAATATATAGACATATTTTAAAAACAAAAACTAATAAAAACACAATACAATTACTAAAACCTTAACTAAAATTAAAGTGACAACTGAATAAAATAAATATAATACTATATCAATGAAAATAAAAAAAACACTGGTATATATATATATAAGTGTTTTTTATTATCTGAAATAAAATATAGACAAAACTTAAAAATAAAAATGAATATAAATATATAGACATTTTAAAAACAAAAACTAATAAAAACACAATACAATTACTAAAACCTTAACTAAAATTAAAGTGACAACTGAATAAAATAAATATAATACTATATCAATGAAAATAAAAAAAACACTGGTATATATATATATATATATATATTTAAGTGTTTTTTATTTTCATTGATATAGTATTCATATATATTTCATATATTCATATATAAAGTATTGATATATATATATATATACTGTATATATATACACACACACACACTTAAATATATTATATAAATTATATAATTACTTCTTAATTTTGTTTTTATATATATATATATATATATATATACACATAGGCGACATTTGACTCGAGTCAGGGGGGCAAGAAAAAAAAAATATATATAAATTAAATAAATAAAAGCAAAAATCTGTAAGCATCAAAACAATGCCCTACCGTATTGCAACGCATCAAAGCAGTCAATCCAACACAGTCGAGAATAACTTAAAGAGGTTGCCACTGTTTAGTAAACTGTGGACTAGCTTTGGCTCTTGCTGCTGACTTGAATGCTGATGCTTCCCGTTTGTCAGTTGATGGCCTTTCATTTTAACCAGAAATCTGCACGCTGCTTTTCTGATGTTCACTGCAGTTTTCCGTGTCTCTGTCCCGTGTCACTTGAAATGTTTCCGTTTTGAATCGTTGTTACCAAAGACGAGACGCGTGAGGAAAAAATAAATGATCAGTTGTGATCGTTTATGATCGTCCCGATCTCAATAAAGTTTACACACGCTTTTGGTCCATGAATTAAACCTCGCTCGGGACGCGCTGTCTGTGGAGGTTTGGCCGGGACCGGTTCCAGAATTAAATCAACATATTTTATGTTCCGTCCATTGCCAATCAAAGCTATTCCGAGAGTGAACCCTGCATAAATATGCAGACGTCATTCCCAAAACTTTGCAGGGTGTAGCCTATGTGTCCGAAAAACGAAAGTTTCATACAAATTCTGAATGGATTATACCCTAGCAAGTGCGCAAAGCCCGCTCCCTTTATCACTAAAAAGCGTCACTCATCTTCATCGTGATCTTACAAAGTTCTGTTATAATCAATGAAGCTCTCTAAACTGCACAATGAATCTCTTGTCATCGCGTCTGCACTCAGTCATGAGATGATTCACGAGCGTGCAAAACTGCGGCACTTTCAGCGGTGAGTGAATTCTGACAAAAACGTTTCTGATTGGTCATTGCGTTCAAGAAACCAACAGATATGTCTGTGATTGGTTACATTGCTCAATTTTCATTTTAACCAGAAATCTGCACGCTGCTTTTCTGATGTTCACTGCAGTTTTCCGTGTCTCTGTCCCGTGTCACTTGAAATGTTTCCGTTTTGAATCGTTGTTACCAAAGACGAGACGCGTGAGGAAAAAATAAATGATCAGTTGTGATCGTTTATGATCGTCCCGATCTCAATAAAGTTTACACACGCTTTTGGTCCATGAATTAAACCTCGCTCGGGACGCGCTGTCTGTGGAGGTTTGGCCGGGACCGGTTCCAGAATTAAATCAACATATTTTATGTTCCGTCCATTGCCAATCAAAGCTATTCCGAGAGTGAACCCCGCATAAATATGCAGACGTCATTCCCAAAACTTTGCAGGGTGTAGCCTATGTGTCCGAAAAACGAAAGTTTCATACAAATTCTGAATGGATTATACCCTAGCAAGTGCGCAAAGCCCGCTCCCTTTATCACTAAAAAGCGTCACTCATCTTCATCGTGATCTTACAAAGTTCTGTTATAATCAATGAAGCTCTCTAAACTGCACAATGAATCTCTTGTCATCGCGTCTGCACTCAGTCATGAGATGATTCACGAGCGTGCAAAACTGCGGCACTTTCAGCGGTGAGTGAATTCTGACAAAAACGTTTCTGATTGGTCATTGCGTTCAAGAAACCAACAGATATGTCTGTGATTGGTTACATTGCTCAATGCTGCAAAAACACGTTAAGAGTATTTAGCGCTTGGCTAAGTGCTGCAGCGGGCCGACATCAGGGATTCCATGACTAACAATTCCATTGCCCCCCCCCCAATGTCGCCCATGTATATATATATATATATTTAATTTCATTATTACTATTATTTTTCATGTTGATATTTTAATTTATTTTGAAAGATTGTAACTTTTTATTTAATATCTTCTAAGACATCACTCACTCACACACACACACACACACACACACACACACTGACACTGA